TACTTGGAATTCAATTCTCTCTCACAACTTCTCTGCTATCACTTTCCTTTCTGCACCTTGATCTCAACCCTGCTTGCACTTAAGAATCACCCAGGGAGCTTTTTAAAAAAGTATGGATGCCCAGGCCTTCCACCCAGGACAATTAAATCAGAATCTTTGTGGATGAGGCCAGGCATCTTATACTCTAATACTTTCTGGGTGATTCTGCTGTCTGGCTCATGCTGAGAATCACTCTTTAGCCAGAATGAATTCCTCTTTCTTTCCATGCAGTCCCATGCTCTATGCTTCCAGACCTTTGCGTGTGATGCTTCTTCCTACCACAATACCCTCCCTGCTCCGGTCCTCCTGTTTTCACCATACCCACCCTTCAAGATCCAGCTCAGATACTATCTCTTCTGTTAACTTGTTTTTGAATGCCGAAGGTCCAAGTGAATTCTGCTTCCTCTGAATTCTTTTTTTTTCCTTTTTCAGTTTTATTAGGTAGAATTATTCCAGTTCAACTGCACATATATATTACATTGCATGTAACTACATATATACAGTATACTGCACATTTTTTTTTTAGTTTACTGATCATTGTTTCTAAGAACAGATTAGAGCTTTAGCTTTTTAAACTTACATAGTTATCAAAGGATACAGCCAACTACAAAATAAGAATCAACAGAATGTGGTAATCCAATCATAAAGGACAGTCAAATGCGCTTACACATAGAGCATCTTCTGTCCTCTCAGATCACTTTCTAGCTTGCCATTTATGTGCATAGTCTATTTCCCCACCAATTAAACTGTGAACTTTTTAGGGCAAGAAACCCACCTTTCTGATTCACTTTTTATAGCTCCCAGTGCCCAGTAGGTACTCAGTACACATCAGATGAGGAAAAGGAGGATGGAGGAAGAAGAGGCTACAGACCTACTGACATCCATCCAGCTCATCGTCTTCTCTATACTCATCCAGCACTAGAATTAACTCTCTTTCTCCCCTAAGTGTTGGAGCAAAGTGAATTTCTCAACTACTTTTTCTACATGATATACATTCTCTAAGTTTTGTCTTTCCCTGAATGATCAGGTAGTTGCAATATTAAAAAACATCAACTCAGAAACTTCCTAACCACAGGAGGGCCCCTAGTCCTAGTCCTCTTCAATTTTCAGCAGGATTATTGTTATGTTCTCCTCTTCTCCACTCTTTCTCCATAGTGTGTCCAATCTACACCCTCTAATCTCCTTAAAACATAGCTTTCCTCCTGTTATTTCCCTGCACAAGAGCCTTAGCATATTTCCCCATTTCCCCCTATCAGATCTAGTCCGAGACCCTCATTATTCCTGCATTCAAGGCTTTCCATGACCTTTCCACCCTTAATTCCCATTCCACTCCTCCAAACCAATACTGCAGGCCAGTTGAACTATAGGTTTTCCTTTCCTTTCCGTTACACCCATCAACCTTATCTCTGTTAATAGGCTTCACTCCTGGTATTATCTTCTTCTCCATCTCTGTGAGTTCAATACCTAATCATTCTTCAAGTCTGGTTCAAAGATTACCTCCTCCATTATCTCCTAACAACCCCCAGTGCTGCTGCCCTCACCATCCCCTCTCCACTCGGTCCTGCCCCAGATTGAAAGACATCTCTTCTTTCCCTGAATTCCCAAAACATTTCTTTTTTGCAGCATATCACTTTCTTCCTTATGTTGCAGTTTTTTACAAGCCTGTTTCCTTAAAAATCTTACAAGCACCGAAAGGGCAAGGGGTGAACTCTCGCTTGTCTTTACATTCCCTATGGGATCTCATATGTAAGATTAAGCTCCATTGCTAGACTCTACTAATAGTGAACTCTGTGACCTTGAGCTTGTCATTTAACCTGTGTGTGTCAATTTGTTCATAAATCAAAAACGTATTCTAATTTAACAGCCTTAATTTGAGATGGCTTAAATTACATAGTCCTGGGATCGCACAAGGCCACCTGAAAGCACATACCAAAAGAAAGATTTCTGCATAATCTTAAAAAATCCTAAGTTTATGGTCACATTGACAGTTTCTACAGATAATTTCCTGTAATTTGTTTTCTGACTTACTTGTATCAATATAGATTGGGGGTGACTGTACCCTTTCTGGCTATCACTTCTCCCTCAAGCATCAGTGACATAATCTATGCCTCAACTTTTAATTGGTGTAGCATCATGTTTGTGTGTTTGGAGGGAACCACTTATTCAATCATTTATTCTACAAATATTTATTGAGTATCTATTAACCAGACATTTTTCCAGGTGATGGGTTCTCACATTAGTAAACAGAAGAGGGGAGGGGAGGGAAAAAAAGCTGGTGTAACTATGGAAGATTTTTCCTATTGTAACTATTTTATACAATCTCTCATCTTATTAGTAGATCATGAAGGTTTTAGACCACCTATGTTAGGCTGAGACTCAACTATTTCATGGTTAATGTTTCCTAAAAGCAAAAGAAAAATGCCTATTTTTTTTTCATTTGTCCAGATAATGTAGGGGAGTGAGTACAAAGTGCGTCCACTCAATCCTTCTAAAGATAATACACTGGAAACATTTTGGTGGGTGTGAATCACACACACACGCATTCTTCACTCAAAAATAGAAACTGGCCTTATTTGTTCCAGATGTTATACAGCTGCAGGGAAGTTAAAGCCAGTGGTCCTGTTTTCAATGCAACCAAACTCTTATTGCATTTGGAATTTCTTAACCAATGAACTCATATTACTTGTTCTAAGACCTACATAATTTTCTTTTTTCCACTGTTACCATTCACAAACAACTGTTTCATGGGAACCATGCTTCAGAATTAATGAGTCTACATCTGTGTTGTACAAAGGAAACACATCCTGTTTACCACTGCTTCCACCTTTCATTTATCTTGACCCCTTTAATTTTAAGCATAAAATATTTCAAAGAGAGTACTTGAAGGAACGGAAAAGGAGAGTTGTGTTGTGTTGTTCTTACAATATTTTCCAGCACTTTAACTATGGAGTTATAAGAAGGTGTTCATCTTAGGAAGAATCTCAAGCAAAATTACTAAGAAAAATATTAAGTATAAAAGTATAACTTGTTTGTAGTTCAAAAAACTTGGCATATTAGCTTATTTCTTGATCCTTCTGTTGATCCGTAAGAGATGCTATGTGAATGCATGAAATGCAAAAGGATCAAGGCTCTTTGAAGAGGATGAATCAGTTAAGAAATCATGTAGGAAATGCACATGCTAACTTTATATCTAGATCAAAAAAACAAAAATATAGTTATATTTCATTTGAGAATACTTGTGTTTGGGAACAGAGTACGAGATCTCTTGAGATTATTGCCCTTTTTTTTTGAGAAGTCTTTTTCAAATTGTGGTTCATGGACAGTCAGCAGTAGAATCACATTGGCCACTTATGAAAATATGTACTTCTGGCTCCTGTTGAGTCAGGATCTCTGTGAAGTGGGGCTGGGGTTCTAGAGGGACACTGGAGAGCAGAAAACAACAACAACCACAAACACTCATCTTCCACATTAAAACCCAGGGAGGTTAAGTGAATTTCTCAAGGCCATAGAGCCAGTTAATAGTAAAGTAAGGCTTAGAATTTTGCTTATTGTGAACGGAAAATACTGGAAACCATATCAGTAAACAAAGAATGCTGAAACCATCAAGTCCTCAGTGGCTGCACCCCCCCCCCCCCCCGCGGGAAGACAAGCCTACAGCCCAGCCCAGCCTCTGCAGCCACTCACAATGGTGCGCTCTGAGGGCACTCAGAATAAGAAAGGGCAGGATACTGGCCCTAGATAGCTAGGTGCTTGTCAAAGGAATGAATTCAATGAGCCCAAATGTTTGCTTCCTCCCATGCATAGAAAAGCACTAAATTCTTTAACTTGAGATGCCTGGCTTTCTTTAGATAACAAGTCATCTTTTATTGTTCCAACTACTTGGTCTTTGTTGTAAAGCTCCTACATATCCTAGCTCCTTCCCTGCCTCTTCAGAGCAGTCCCTCAGAGTGATCTGAGAGGCTGTCCTCCCAGCTCGAGTCCTCCCGCCAATTAAAACGTAACTCTCAGACAATACTATAGAGCTACAGTCATCAAGACAGCATGGTATTGGTACCAAAACAGACATATGGACCAATGGAACAGAATAGAGAGCCCAGAAATGAACCCACAAACCTTTGGTCAACTAATCTTCGACAAAGGAGGCAACAATATACAATGGAATAAAGACAGTCTCTTCAGCAAATGCTGTTGGGAAAACTGGACAGCAGCAT